AGTTCCAAACATTTTATTATCGAATGTCTTGATAATGGACGATCAATTTTTTTTCGTGATGTTAGTAGAAATGGTTGTTATATTGATGGTGAATTAATTCATCATTCGAAAATTTTATTACAAAATAGTGAACATATTATGTAAGTGAAACAAAAAAAACAGAAGATAAAATATTCATTGTATTTGTTATTATTTAGTTCTCTTGCTTTAAAAGAAAATCGTGCATATAAATTTATACATTTATCAGGTTTATTTGATGTTATTAATCTTGATGAACGTTATTTAAAAGCAAATTTACTTGGTTCAGGCTCATTTGCGAATGTTTATCGAGCTATATCACATGTAACAAATACACGTCGTGCAATTAAAATAATCAATAAAGATCAATGTGAAAAACAAATTGGTCCGGGATTTTCCAAATATCTCTATAGAGAAGTGTAAATAAATGTTTTGTTTGAAATTTTTTCATATTTTATTTCAATTCGTATAGATCTATTCATGGAAGTGTTGATCATCCATGTATTCTTCGTCGTTTTGATGTTTATCATGAGAAAACAGATTTATTTGTTGAAATGGAATATGCCGCTGGTGGTGCATTACTTGATAGAATACATAAAACATATATTATGGATGAAGATGAATGTAAATTTATTTTTTATCAAATTGGTTGTGCATTAGCATATTTACATCGACTTAAAATTGTAATAAAAAATAACTAAAATATAACAAATAGAATTTGTTATTTATTTAGGTTCATCGAGATATAAAACCAGCGAATGTTCTTCTTATGTCAAATGAACGAGAAACAATCGCGAAATTAAGTGATTTTGGTGTAGCAAAATATGTTTATGCATCATCACGATATTTAAATACGACTATTGCCGGTACACAACAATTTATGGCACCTGAAGTACAATTTCAAACAGGACATTCGACAAATGCTGATGTAAGTCTATAATCATGAGGTCTCTTAATTTCAATAGAAAAGATTTATCAATCTGATGACCGCGAATATTCATTATTGATCGATCATATTTTTGTTTATTTAGGTTTGGTCATTTGGTATGACTCTTTTAAATGCTTATGTTGGAGATACAGTATTTCGTTTACGAGGTATTCGAGCATTAAATTCAGTATCACATACAAAAAAAGATTTAAAAGACATTATAACGAAAACTTTAGAAAAAAATACATATGCTCGACCAGATATGACTCAATTATTTCGTTATCCATGGTTTCGTGATAGTGCATGTTTTGAACGAATTCAAAAACTTGTTCAGGTACAAACTGGTAAATTTTTAAGTTTACCATATGAAAGATGATGTTTACTTGTATGTGTATATTACGTTGTTTTTTTCCTCTCTCTACAATAGATAACAGCAAGACTTCTGAATTATTTTTTTGTTTATTTGTTTCATATTATTGTTATTCGTGTCAATTTATGTATCTGACTATTCTCTTTTTTTTTGTTTTATACAGTGTGAAATCATATGTAACTTTGCGTATAATTAACAAATAAAATATCGGAATTATTAGCAAAAATATTTTTCATAGATATTCTTATTGAAGATACTCGATTGTTACATATATGAGTTGGTAACATATTTATTTCAACAATATAACTATATAGATAGGTGTATGTCCATTAGATCATGTTGGGTATAAATTTGTTAGTCTTTGATGCATATTCAGTCCATTCCTTGCCAAATGTTTTCTTTAATCCCTCTTCCTCACGTAGAACACGCTTTTTGAGAGCCAGTGCGAGCATTATACAACATGTTAAAAATCCGACAGGACCGATCAGAATCTGTATCCAACTCTTATCCGGAAAAAAATTTACCAAGCGTTGATGAACAAGAAATATTCCAATCATCATAATAAAGGCAAACGTGTACGATGGATGACGTACATAAGCATATGGGCCAGTCTTAATAAGCTTATGAGAATGACGAATAGTAAGTTCAAAGGTGAAAAATGCTCCTAACGTTTTGTAACACCAAACTCTTCCCAAACCGCCAATGATTATAAAGATGTAACCAAGCACCGAGATAGCTGTGAGAGGCAAGCAATTAATAAATGTTGATATTTCTGGGAATAATGTTGAAATTGAAGCTGGTGAAGACGCTTGCAAATATAGATATACTGCTTGGTATAATGTGGAAGTCCATACGAGAATTTTTCCAATCGTAGGTGCCAAGAATATTGCAAATGATGAACCGAAACCTTCACTTTGAACGTAATCACCAAGAGAGCTTCGGTTTGGGTTAGAGGTACCAATATGGACAAGCAGGCTTGAAAAAAGGAGTACGACAAGTTGAAGAAGTGGAATCATCTCGTATAATATACTTTATATGTAAAATTAAAGTGAAAACAGCACACATTTTCATTCTCTTATGATATTTATATTCTTTTCGGTGGTCGATCAATTCGTCACGTTCAATTCGTCGCACTATCAATTCGTTACAGATCCGCTTGAGAAGTTTCACATAAAAAACAACCTGTGCTTATCCATCCTCTTTCCGTATCTACAGCAGGCACTAAACGAAGGTGAGCAAAACGTATCGTTTTAACTTTTTTATACTAGAATTTTTCTAAGATTTTTCATTAAAAGTTTGTATTTGTTGATAAGTATCAACAAGAAAATGAGCAATATGAGTCCATTTGATAAACATTTCTTCGATCTGTTTAATATCGATTGTTCGTTTTGAATCACCTTTTTCTTTATCAAAAATAATATCTGTTGTTTGAACCATTTTATCAATATTATGAATAGTTTCTATTATTAATGATAAAGGACATGTATTAGATAATGTTGTAATTGTTGTTATATTACTATTACTAGCAGATGCTATCGTTTTATTAGAACGAAAACATTGGGTTAATAATGATATAGATCGTTGATAATTTTTCGTCATATAGAAATATGCATAGAAGAAAGAAAAAAAAAAGAATACTGATTGGCGCTTAGTATCATAAATCTCTTTGTCTTTTTTGTATGTTTAATATATCTTGAGGGTGTAGGAGTGGATAATGTAATTATCTAGCACTCACACTCTCAAGACTCTGTAGCAATAGGCTGATGCTCCAAAATGTCATGTAGAATGTAAATGATTTGTTAAGACATTCCAATATTCATCTTCAGTTGATGTTAATGTTAATTCAATCATCCACAAACGATCTTTTAATTGTTTAGCTTGTCCAACACGAAAAACTGCACCCATTGAGAAAAGAACTTCATCTTCATCTTTAAAAATGCTATGATAATCAATTTTAGCGAATGGTATCCAATGTGTGAGTGTTGTATCGACAGTAATTTCATAAATAACAGAAACATAATTATCTTCAACATTTCCATCGCCTGAAAAGGAAAGAGCGGCTTCATAATCACTTGTTGTTGATAAAAACGTATCTGTCGAAACAAGATTTCCTTCATTACGTTCTAGATCATGTAATTCATGTAGTTGCATTCTAAGACCTCGATAAAGTTGTAGAATGATTTGATTTGATGGTAATAGACGAAGAAATTCTTTTTGTATTTGAGCAAGTTGATTATGAAGATCATGAATAAAATAACGTAATTTAAAAATATGATCGATACTTTCAGTTCTTAACGAACGATTTATTAATCGATAAAGAAAACAATCTGTCGTATACCATTTAATTGCATCTCGAGGATCATATGTTTGTTCGAATGTGTCAATCTTTTTCAATTCGATAGGATCATCTGCATAAGAATCTCGACAAACTTGCAAAAGTTCATTACGAGCAAATTCATTTTGATCTAATCGTAACATCATATCAACTAATAATTGAAAAGCTAAAAATGATCCATTTTCCAAGGTTAAATTACGAAAAAAGTTCCCATTAATTTGTACATTTTGTAGTGTGAAAAAAGATCGATGACGGATAATATCTTTTGTTGATGAATACCATGGATGCATAATCGAAACAAATTGTTCATCATTCTCATCAATCAAAGTTAAATCGATATACCAAAATCGATCAGTTCCAGTTCTTTTCACTCGTTCAACTCGAAACATCGAACGAAAAGAAAATAAAACTTCGAGTTCGTACTCTATTCTACTGAATTGTGATATATCCGAGTATAGACCTTGAATACCATAAGGAATATTTATAGAAAACATTACTCTTTCAACTGAATCTGTTCGATGTCGAGGCCAAATTTCAGCAAAATTAAAAGCAGTTTCTTCCGAATGTGTAGTCGACCAAAAAGCAGCTAATCCAATAAGACCACCTATATTGGCTTCGATCTCTTGTATTTCTTCCAAATGTAATTGTTGACCACGATAGACAGTTTTAAGAGAATGGTTTTCATGACGATGTTGTCGCAAGTAATTTTCCAGATCAAATATAACATAACGCATGGCAAAGATATGATTAATATCTTCTGATCGTAATGTTCGATTCAATAACAGATAGAAAAAAGATTCTCTAGTGTACCATTTGATTATATCGTTTGAATTATATGATTGTTGAAATTCCATACATGTTCTTTTCACAATATCAGTTTGTTTTATATGAAAAGCTTGTATACTTGCCAACATTTCTTCTCGTGCTACATTAGTATTTTTTAAACGTGATAGAATAAAATAGAAATAACCGTACCAAAGATATTTGGCAGTATGTTTATTTAAATCATACGATGTTCGTTCAACAGGCCACGAATCAAAAGTTATGTAAACACGTTGACGATCACGTACAACGGAAGAAAGATGATCTACAAGTAATTGAGCATCAGGAAAATATTTAACATTTTCATATCGATACGATGGTTTACCAATGATGATTACTTGAATAATTTGAGGAAATATTGGACGAAGAATATCATAAGTAATATGCATAACAAGATCAGATATAATTAAAGTGATTCTTTGATTAAACTTAGAGGCGAGACAATCGATCAAATCGTCAATGTCAATGAACCAATATTTAACATAATAAGATAATGGAGGATTTGATCGAAAATCAAATTCAGTTAAATCAAAACTAACGAAACATTGTCCAAGTGATTCAAAATCTTGAGTACGCGTGTACAATCGATATGTCATATTGCACGCTTAAAGTAAAATAAAACCACAGCGTTTATTTGTTTGATTATTAAACGATAAAATCGTTTTATTATGTTTTGCGTTCTTTTATTTACTGAGACACACGTGATACTCCCATTAGGAAATTTGACTGTAAATAATAGAAAAAAAAGTAATTAACATTATTTGATGAAATACAATTGAATAATAATATAACAAGGCAAAACAAGTTCGTCTATGATTTATTTTACAAAAAAAGCAATACAGTGAAGCTTTCAAGACTAAAGTTTCATGAAAAATATTTTTACATATTTACAAAGAAATAATTATTTCTCTTTTTCTATTCTCTTCTAGCATTTGCTTAAACATTTCACTGCGATGACGTCATTCTCCCCTTCAAAGTGCAATATTTTAGAAAAGAACAGAAAAAGAAAAAGAATTGTTTCTTCATATATATATGTAAAAACTTCACTAGTCGACGTTCTTGTCCTCTTCTTTCCAGGTTCTTGCTTTTCAGACAAGATTCTTGTCTTCAGGCAAGATTCTTTTCGACAGGAAAGTAAAAAGAATCTTACAAGAATTTTCAGTAGACAAGAATCTTTTTATTCCCTTTAAAAAGAATCTAGACTGAAGTTCAAGATAAAAAGAACCTGGAAAGAAACACAAGATATTTTAAATTCCTTACTATTCAGACAAGATTCTTTTAATAGAAAAGAAACAAGATTCTTGTCAGCTTTCCAAGATGAACGGCACGTGATGTGGCCTTTGTTTAGCACATATATAAAAGCATTAGCTGAACGTTATTTATTCATAATTATTATTGGCTCGATAAGTATAGTGCAAATTTACTTAGATTATTTTCTTTTTTTTGAAGCGTTTATTTAATTCAAACGATATCTAGTAAGTTATTGTTTTAATTGGATGTATAGTAAAAGTTTATTTCATATCAAGAAAACAATGGAATATATGACATCCATTTTCTCATTGTTTACTGAAGGCAATCCTTATTGAACATATTTTGATATTTTTCTAATTCATATCTCTATATTTTATTTTATATTTTCTAGATTTTTCACTGCCGGTACAAGTATTAGATATAATGGACGAAGAAAATATCAATTCATTTAAAAAATTATTGTTTGATAATCCTCTTGGTATCGGTAAAATTTAAAAAAATAAATAAAATAAGTTTTTTTTTTATATTGTTTTTTTTGTGTTAAAAATTGAAACTGTTTCATAAATATGTGAAATTTAAAGTATTTTTTTGTTGTTTCATATTTTTTTGTACATGGTGTGAAATGCTTATAATAAAACGATATGAAAAAGGTAGTAATAACCAAAAAAAGGCTTTCTTGATATGATCAGAATCAGGCAAGAAGCCTAAGAAATCAGAAACAGGCAAGAAAATCAAGAAGGATAAGAATCAGGCAAGATTTCAAGGAAAACAAGAATCAGGCAAGAAAGTAAGAGAACAAGAATCTGTCTGAAGAAGAATTTCTTGCCTCATCAGACAAGATTCGGTCTACACGAATCTCACAAAAAAGGCAAGATCAGTTTTTTCAGATAAGAATCTTGTATGTAAGGAATTTTCAGGCAAGAATCTTGCATGTAAAGAATAGAAAAAGAATCTTGCCTGAAAAGCAAGAAAAACAAGAACCTGGAAAGAAGAGGACAAGAACGTCGATTAGTGTTTCTTTCATAAAATTTAGCGTTGAAAATGATCCTTTGAAAAGTGTCGAAAGTTTTACTGTATTGTTTTTTTCTGAAAAAATAAGTGGTTGATGAACTTGTTTGCCTTGTAACACAAGACCATTTCTATTCGATCAGTTCGACTTTTACAGATGGTAAATTAAATTGATTAATCGATCTCACAGTGTTAAATCCTGTAAGGAGCAAACAATCAAAATCATAAACATTTCTCATTTTCTATATCAGGTTTGACGATTTTAGATATAAGAAAGAATGACTACCGATCGAATTACACTTTATTCAATTTGGCATAGCATCAGTCGCATCGATTACATATGAAGCACATGCTTAAATACCCAAGTATTAGAGATAACGGAGAGGAATAAAAGATTACACTCACACCCACCCTCAAGATGGTTTCTTGCTTTTTCGGTTACCGAAGTGAATCTTTAGAATGTTAGAATATATAGGTGTTATTTTCTACACATTCAGAAAAAGACTTTTCCAAGTATTCATTCGTGTTTTATACAACACACAGTTTCAAGTACTATTTCGTTAAAAAAACTCATCTAATAATTAGTGAGAAATTGTTAAAATTGTAGTCGAGGCAGTTTTCGTCATAAAGCATAATATTCTATGAGAATTCACATACATACTCACAATAAACCGACCTATGGCTGATAGGTATCTTGATATAAAGAGCACTAATGTCAAAGAATAATAAAATATTTCATTATTTTGAGGCTTTAGGTTTTTTGTGTCAACACATATTAGTAGCGTTATAATATTTAAATGAAATGCAGATATTCATATATGCATCTATAACTATATAGACATATTTATATATTGAGGATAAAATATTTTATTTCTTGCGTTCTACGCTGATTATCGGCTAGCAATAGCTTCTCACATGATCAACGCAGAATGAAAATAAAGAAAGACACCAAGACACTAATTGGTTTTCATACTTTGCTATATGTATGAAAACAAGAAAAGATAATGTTGCACTTTTTTCTTTTAAACTATAAATCAATATTACTTTGTATCATGTTCCCTATACTACATATATAACTCAAATCGTTATTTCAAAGCTTGAAAAATCTTCTGATATATCTTGAGGATGAGTGTCGGTGTGGATGTGGACGTTACAGTAACCTTACTCTGACAACCACATTCCTCAACAAACGCGATCAAAACAAAGACGAAAAGCATGTTGAATATATATAATCAATTATTTACTGCTAGAATTGAAATCTTCACTTTGGATAAAAAAGTAGTTAATCAGACTGATGTATCTACCTATCTTTTTTCCCCTCTGGTTATAGATATTACTTTAGTAAGAAGCACATTCTGTTTATATTATTTTGCAAGATTTAAGCTTGTCCTTTTCTGGGATATGAACACATGAGACAAAAAAGTGAATCGATCGAAAAGATATTATAATTCGATTTATGAAATCAACTTCCTTATTTTTGCTCAAGGAAATGTGTCTATAAATATCAATTTAAATGATTGCAATCAAGCCACTGTTACGTTTCATTCCAAATATCACTTTTTGCATACCGATAAACAACTGAAGAGTTGCAATATAACAAGATCCAACATTAGTGTTCTTATATCACATAAAGAGACTATCTTTTCGAGATTAAAAACATATGTCACACATAACTCTTCTTATCTATGTAGTTATTTACACAATTTCAGTCATTATATATATATATATATATATATATAGGCGCAGATTCATAACATCCACTCACATCCTCGAGAAATAGAGCGAGATTTCTATCGTGAACGCATCTGAATGTGAGTATTGGTTAAAACGCGTCTATTCTCTAAAATGCATTCAGAAACCCGTTTAGACACGTTCTTTCTATATTTCGGAGCTATATGGACACTAATACTTCAGTCATAACCAGTTTGTACTTCCGAGCTCAAGGTACGCATAGGTAAATATTGTCGTAGCACGTCACTAAACTAGGAACTAAAACGTCCTATATGATTTTGTAGTTCCGAGCTTACAGAACAGCTACATGAAT